GAATATCTACTAACATAAAACCGTGGAGGTTTTTTGTGAAAAGCAATTTACTTTCAATCCCTCATTCATCAGTTTATAATTGTTCGAAAATGTTCCTGAACAGAATTCTCTCTCTTTACTCTTGGAGATAAAATAATCTCTTTTTAAAAAAAAAATCTCATCTGGCATATGAAGCTGGGATGAAAAGAATGGTCAAAAGAATCTATATACTTCTAGTATTATAATTTTGTGATATTAAAATGAATTGGTACATTAAGTTGCAAAGATTCTGAAACAATTATTTCAGCCCATGATAAAATAAAATATACATTTGATAAGTAAAACAAATGTTTTACAATTAAGAATTTGTGGCATACAGAAATCTCCCAAAATTAATGATTTGCTTGCTGAAGTTATGGAACATTTGTTGCTTTAAAAAGTATTCTCATTTGAAAAGTTAGGCTGATTTCTTAAAAACTGGTTCTTAAATCTCATTTAGCTCTACCAGTTTGTATTTGTATGCAGATTTACTTTGAAATCCCACTCATTTTATATCAGATTATTTTCAAGCAAAAGAAAACAAAATTGCAGAATAAATGTGTGGATTTTTTCCTGCACTTTGTGCTTTGCAATTTGCAACATTTGATTTTCTTTAATTATTTTATTAATGATTATAAATTCAAAAATGCCTTCCTTTTAGCAAGACTCTCCTTTTCGCGGTAGTTACATTGATGCTTCCAATTATATTCTGCGCCAATAGAAGAGAATTCAGCATTCAGACTGTTGAGCAATTAAGAATGACACTGGATAGGCTTTTGATGCCTATCTTATTCCCTGTTTAGCATTATTGCCCTACTTAAAATAGTTCGGCTTCAGCCTCTGGAAAACATTTACGCACACAGCCAAATTCATTCTTTCCTTTCCCGGAGGTCACTACTTGGAAAAAAAAGTCAACCGTTTCCTGCGTTTATTGAAAATCAGGCACATACAAAGACAACCCTGTACGGAGCGTCGCTCTCAGCGACGGCCTGAGGAACCGTTGCAAGGCCCTTTCTTCTCCCAACTGCTGCCGCGCGCGTTCTGGAAGGTTCCGATCGGCGTTGGGGAAGTGTTGGTGGCGCAGGTTCCAGGACAGGGGAGAAAAGAATCCATCTCCATCGGAGGACTGAGTGGGCATCCGGGCGCAGACATGCCGGAGAACGCAAGCACAAAAGGGGCCTTTCTAAATGCGGCCTCAGGGAACCGTAACTCTGGCGGCAATCGCAGATCTTACCAGGATAAAGATAAGCCGGCTCAGATCCGCTTCAGCAACATTTCTGCGGGGAAAGGTGATAGATGGGACACCGTTGTCTTTATAGGGGGAAGGATGGAGGGGTGATGGAGGGGAGGATGAATGGACCCTCCGTTGACATCTGGCGGGCTCGGGCAGGGGCTCCCGGTCCCTAAAGCATCCAGACCACACCCCTCGGCCCTCCGCTTCTTTTGTTGGAATGAACTGAGGTTCTTTCAGAGTCTTGTTGAAGATAAAAGAAGGCCGAGCAGTATAAACCCTATTATTTTTTCTGTGTTTTTTTTAAATGAAAGAGAAGAAGATGAATTGCATTCCTTGTAAAGGAACGATTTCTATTATCCTTCCTATTCTTTTCCCACTTTTAGAAAGTGTAATGGATGTCATTGTACTGAATGTTTCCAGTGTGATTTGAAATAAAAGATAAACCTTTTATACAAGAAAATCTTTCTTGGTCGGATTGCACAGCGCAGTAAATCATAATGTGATCGCTTTGATTAGAGGTTAAGATTGAGGTCAGCATCTATAAGTGGAAAAAGCTGGGGGGCATAAACCTGAGGATTCTTCCAGAAAAGTGATGGATTGCCTGTGGCTTGTTAGATTCTTGGATCCTCCTCAGGGTGATCCTGAACCATAGGTGATGTCAGATGCAAAAAATAAAACTGAAGATCAAAAGCAAATTCATAGAGAGAGAGTTATCCTTTAAACAGATTTCAGTTATTTTAGTGTTCACATTGAATATGAGTTGCATTGTCAGATAATAATTTGTTTTTAAGTAATATAATATATAATTAAATTAAATTTAAATGGTGCTCTCACTATCCAAAACATAATATATAATTAATATGACAGGATTATAAAATAACATTATTTTACTATTACTGTTGCTATTTTTCATGTAGTATTGGTTTGCTTTCTATACAGTTATTGAGTCCATGCATTATACAAAAGCAGTATTTGCTCCACTTTAGTTTGCTACATGAATAAGCTATGATAGTTGGTCCATGCAATCAATATACAAGCCACTTTCAGATATATTCAAATACTTTGAAAATTTGGCATGCATATTGTGATTTTTCTTTTTTGGTCCATGTGATGTGAACTAAAGAAGTTGGACTTTATTTAGCAAATCATAATTAAACAAGCAATGGCTTAATAATATGAATCACTTTATTATGTTTTTGTGGAAGCTGGTATTTTAAACATCCTAGAGGATTTAGTGTCTAATTTATTATCTTATTTGTGGCTACACAATGTCTTTTCGAGTGGGCAGCCATAAATGAAATTGTTTGCACTTGAAGTAAATTTTGAATATATAAAAATTATTTTCATCTCTATTTTAGCGGTTGCGGATGCTGTCAGGACAAGTCTTGGCCCAAAGGGAATGGATAAAATGGTGAGTTTTGAGCTGGGGTTTTGTGTGTGTGTGTAGTTTGTGCTTATAATAAATCTATGTAGAGCATTTGAAAGGTGTTTTGCAGAATGCATTAGCAGAAGCAAAACATTCTCGAATCAGTAAATTACTGTATTTTTAGGAGTATAAAGCACCAGAGTATAATCAGTAAATTACTGTATTTTTAGGAGTATAAAGCACCAGAGTATAAGACGCACCCTAATTTTGGGGGAGGAAAACAGGAAAAAAAAGTTTCTGCCTCTGCCTACCAGCATCCATTGGTAGTAATCTGGCTAGCATCCTTGCAGCAAACAACAAATGTCCTGGCCAGGTTCAGCAGCCTGATTCAGGAGGAGCAGCTGATTGAAGGGTAGAATACCCCCAAACAGTTGTTCCAGGCTGCAGGGATTGCCACAGACCATCGCTCCCTGTGTGCCTCGCGTTTCCCAGCGGTCCCAGGTGGCAGGGATCCTCACTTCCACTCGGATTTTGATAATGAGCAGCACATATTTTTTATCCATTTAAAACAAACCCTATCACCCTACGCAGATTTAACTGGAATGAGTGGAGTGGGATAGGGTAGGGGATGATTTTGTGCAGAAGAAGGACTTGGCTGCTCGAAGAAGCTGGCCCAGTGCTGGTGGTGCTCAGGATCACTGAAGCCCTCTTGGAAGGCTGCGGGGGGGAGGGGGGCAGGCCCTTCCCGTACAAGGGCATTTACAGTAACAATGCATTGGTTAACATCGCCTCCCACAGCCACTTCCTCCTACCTTTAAATCCTCTTTCCTCTGTGTGAGCCAAATGTTTGCCGTGTAAAACTGAAACCAGGTGCTCTTGTGAGGTGGCGTGGGAGCTCCTTGGGAGAGGCAAGGACAAGCTTGGTGTTTCCTCTCTCCCATCCCCCTTCCTCTTTCCCCGACCTGCCTGCGATCTTAGCTCGTAGCTCCTTGGCTTATCTTTGCTTTTCTTCCGCCTGCCCCATTCCATGAGCTGGAGTGCTGAGGAGGTATGGCAGAAACACGTGAAAGCAAGAAATAAAAAAAAAACAAAAAACAATAGCAATAGCAGTTAGACTTATATACCGCTTCATAGGGCTTTCAGCCCTCTCTAAGCGGTTTACAGAGTCAGCATATTGCCCCCAACAACAATCCGGGTCCTCATTTTACCCACCTTGGAAGGATGGAACGCTGAGTCAACCCTGAGCTGGTGAGATTTGAACAGCCGAACTGCAGTCAGCTGAAGTAGCTTGCAGTGCTGCATTTAACCACTGCGCCACCTCGGCTCTCAGAGTTTCAGCCAGTAAAGGCTTGGCAGCAGTGCTGTTGAGGAACAAGAGGATGCAAATCTGAGGGGAAGAAGGTGGCTGTTTTCCTCCTGAAGGGGCTCCTTTTCCCCACCCCTTTCCCTGGGTTCATAGGGAATCTCTCATCTCTGCAAGCTCTCTCACCTCCTTTGTTTCTCCCTCCGCTTTCATGAGGATTGTGGCGCCCTTGGGAAGATGATCATGCTTTGAAAACCTTAGGAGAGGAGGACAGAGAAAAAGGGCTTTTCGGGCGGCAGTTTTCGGCAGGTTCCAAGCTTTCTTTCCCA